CGGCTGGGCAAGTTCCTAGGCGTGCAGTGCCAGCTGAACCTGACAGGGAAGAGGTCTTTGGGTGGAGGGCTTTTACTTTGACCCCCAAATTCCCCTTCAGTAGTACTCTTTAAATAGCTGAACATACATGATTCAAAGTGTTACAATATATTCCTTATACGTTTACAAAAAGTTTAAATTAAGGATTGATGAAAGATTGTCTAGGCAGTAGTAATGCCATTTTATCAAAAGAAAAGGCTTGCTCCTGCCATTATAAATAAATGAGCACATCACATAGCAAAACCTACATACAGGTAATCCTCAACCTATGACCATTCGTTCAGCAGCCGTTCAAAGTTACAGCCGCACTGAACAAATGGTGGTTATGACCGGTCTTTGGAGTTCTGGCCATCCCAGCACCCCTGCAATCACATGATTGTGATCTGGGTGCTTGGCAACTGGTTTGCACTTACAACCGTTGCAGTGCCCCACCGTCATGTGATTGCCATTTGCAACCTTCCCTGCCGGCTTCCCCAGAAAGTCAGTGGGGAAGCCAGCAGAGAAGGTTGCAAGTAGCTGGGGTTAGTCTCCTCCACCTGTGCAACCTCACCCAGCCCCTCTGTGCTCGTGCCCTCCCCAGCCACTCGTGCACCCCCTCGCTCCCTCTCCCACCCGGCAGCAGCCACTTACCTGCCTGCAGGCCTGAGACTTCCAACTTCCTGCTGGCTTCTCTACTGACTTTGCTTGTGGGAAGCTGGTAAGAAGTTGCCTCACCTAACATCCATGGGATTCAGTTAACGACAGCAACCGGGACTGCAGGGATTGCTGTCACTAAGTGATGTGGTCATGCTTTATGACCTCATTGCTTAGCTTAATGATGGAAACGCTGGTCCCAACTGCCATCATAAGTCGAGGACTGCCTGAGCTTCACAGCCATCATGTAGAATGAGGTACCATACATGGTGGGCATCTTGCTTCAATTAATTTGGAACTCAGCCCTAGCCTTGTTAGAAATGTTGAAGTCTGATTTATGATCCACAATGATTAGCAGACCTAGGTTCAATATCTGATGATCCTCCTCTTTTCATGAGATCTCTCCAAAAAGGATGGTGGTTGGAAGATGGCTACAATTTCTTTTTAGAATCTTTTTGCCATCTCTTGCCCAGAGAGGGGTGGTTATGGTGGGAGAATATGTGAACCACAGCAGAAGAGGGTGGAAGGATGTGGGTTTGAAGGATGGGATATGCCAAATAGGTTGCATTGGACACCCCACCATTTTTCTTCACTGTTTCACATGGGTCCCTAGAAGGAACGGTGAAACCCTTCATGAAGGAGCCTTTTAGGTTCTTACCAACAACTTCCCAGACTATGAGGCTTCCTAGGTAAGCAGAAAGCAGGAAAGTTTCCTGGTTGAGCAGAACAAGGGCAACAAAAGCCTTGTTTGGAGAAAGCCCCTGATGGCATGGTCTCTCTGGCCATGCCCTACCTCTGCTTTTCTCCAACAGGGGTGCTTCCTTACACTCTCAGCATCCCTGGGGGCTCCTGAATCCCACGTTTTTCTCAGTGCAGAAATCCAAATGAAGGCATTACCGACAGCCAGCTGTTCAGCCTCTGCTTG